GCTGATGGCTTCACCGCAGCCGTGCGGCCAATTTCTGTCTCCTTGGTGCGCAGGGAAGCTGAGAAAAACAACTTGGACTGTCAGTGTAGGGCTGCCCCCTCGTGCAGTGAAGCCCAGCTGTGAGTGAAGCGGTTGACTGCTACAGGGGTGGCTGAAAACAACCCCTGAGGGGCCAAGTTGATGGCAAAAGGTGCTGGGAAAAGGTGGCTCGGCTGGGAGGGTCGGAGGGTGCGTATGGGAGAGGTCACGAGGGAATTAGTGCTCGCTGCGACGTGTCAAACCCCGCTTCCTCGTTTGGGGAGGTACCGCGCGTTGTTTTTCCTCTGAGTCACCAGGGTCAAACCCTTTGCTCTCTTTCTGCTCGGAAGATCGGCAGTGCCTGGGGTTGGTGCTTCCTCAACCGAAATATCTTGCATTTCCTTCCTCCCCCTGCTTTATTTTTCTCTTTTTTTTTTTTTTTTTTTTAGTTTAGCGATGCTTTGTGCTTGGGTGCTGATGCTGCACAGGGGGGAGCTGTAGCAGAGCCCAATGCAAACCTTTCCTCCTCCTCGGAGGGTAGGGGAAAGAAACCTCAGCTGAGAAAACCGTGCAAACCACAGCCCTGCTGCTACGCTGGGCCAAACAGCACCTGGGAGCTGCCAACAGCCTCCGAGAGACGAGATGAGCGGTCGGGTCCTCTTCTGAGCTGGCAAGGAAGCAGTGTCAGGAAGGAGAGCAGCTCTGCACTCTCTGCCCCATGTGCACGCAACGCGCACCAGCTCCTGTGCTGCTCCTGCAGGGAGGATGGGGCAGCCGGGTCCTAATTCCATCAGGATCACCAAAACGTAGGGTCTGGGGTTGCTGTGGGCTCTGCACAGGGTGGTGATGTCTTGCTTTGGGTTGTGCAGCCAGCTCTGGTTGTTGGGTTTGTAGCGGTGGTGATGGGTGTGCAGCAGCTCGGCTGTCTGCCAGGGGCTGATGGTGCGAGGTGATGGAAACGGGTGAAGTCGTGGCATGGAGAACATGCAGGTTGCTGCAGTGCTGGCAAACTGTGGCTGTGAGCAGGGTGAGGTGGTGCGGGGTCTTGGGATGGAGCTGAGGGTCGTCCCCTGCTCGTACTGGTGTTAATGGGGGCCGTGGTGGGGCTCTGCCTCCTGTCCTGCTGGCAGCGGGGTGCTGTGAGGGGGTTGTATTTGAGCAAAGAAGACATCTCAGCACATCCACGGGCTCGCTGAGGTATTAGCTGGAAGGAGGAGTTTTGAGAGTGATCCAGAAATAGGGATTTACCCAGAAGTTTTGGGTCTTTGTCATGGGTTTCCCATCAAGCTGCTGGGAGGTGTCCCAGCTCTGGTAGGAAACTCTTAATTTCTGCCTTCAGCCTTTTAAACAGCTCCCTCTGAGCTTTTGGGCGTACAGGCACTTTGCTGGAAGTGGTGTCCTTGTGGTGTCCATCTGGAGGGAGCAGCGAGGGTTTGTCCTGGGTCCTGGCTTTTCTCTGACCCCACAAGGTCCAGCCCTGCACCTTTCATCTTGGAGGTGTCACTCGTGGCTCATCCTCTTTGGGGGATCCTCATTTCCGTGCTCTGTCCCCAGGAAGCAGGGATCTGGTCCAGGTCTCAGGAAGCCGATGCTCCCCCATAGATTGGGAGGAGGTTGGGCCTCAAACCAGGACTCTGCTCATTTCATCCCTGCAGCACAGAGGGACCATTTGAAAATGCCCCCGTGTCTTCCCCAGGGAGAAACGTCACCGGGATGTGTAATCTGAGCGCTGCAGTGGCCACCAATCGAGACCTTTCCTTCTGCTTTATTTTTAAAGAGCTTTCAGTAAATCCAAGGTTTTTCCAGAAGCAGCTTTGCATTGCAATTATGTTTTTCTTAAATGTCATCCCCCAGAGGAATGCATTACATGTCCTTACCCTGGAGAAACGCTGTTCTGGAGCATTTGGAACATGTCACCTTCCCCATCTGTCCTGGCAGCTTTACTTCTCCTTGCTCATTGGGAAAGCTGTAATTCTGTGCAGGTTGTGGCCAGCTCTGAGGGAAGATGCTGTTTCTCAGTCCCTGCCTTCTTGAGAATAAAGTTTCTATATCCATTTAGTCTGTGAGATGTTCTCTATGGGACTTGTGTCCTGGGCTGAGGCTGTTGTGCAGGCAGAAATCTGAGATGTTGGTGCTATGGAGATGTTGGGTTTGGGTCTCAGGGTTTCTTATTTCTGAATGATGGGGCGTTTCTTTTCACTCAGGTTTGCTCACTAAGAGTTTAAGTGGCTGTTTGTGCCACAGATGAGCGGTAGTGGAAGGAAAATCAGCAGCCTGTGGTGAGCTGAGTGACACCAGGGCACCCGTGATGTCCCCACGCACGTGAGCATCTTGTAACCCAGGCACAAACCAAAACCTTTTCTCCAGCACCTTCTCCCAGGAGGGATTCTCTGTGATTTACCACGTGCCAGCTCCTTTGCACTGATTTTTAGGAAGATGGAGGGAAGAGAGGCATGTTTAGTGATCAGCATTTCCAGTTCCTGCACTCCTCTGGTCAAGGCCGCCCAGCGAATCGTCCAGCTGAGCCTTTCTGTGGTGACTGTGGATGTGATGCTCCAGAGCCACAGCTTGGTTTCTTCTCTCCGTGGTGCAGACCCGCATCTCTTGAGCTGTGTGAGGAGATGGGTGCCTGTGTTCCTCTGAGCCTGGATTTGGACCAGCAGATCCAGGAGGATTTGTGACAGAAACACCCCTGGGGACAGGACCGTGTCTCCTTCGGGGGACCTGCTTGTCCCCTCTGTCACTGCCAGCGCGAGGTGGCCGCGTGTCCCCTTGCAGGTGTCCCTGCCACACGGGGATTGCTTCTGCTTTCCCAGCAAAGAGGGACGTGGCCAAGGGCAGCCAGAAAAAGACACTGCTGACCTGCAGCGGTGATGGGTGCAGAGACAAGGAAGAGCTGCCCCTGCTCTCCTTCCTGCGCCCATCCATGTGGCTGTCCCGGCGTGTGGCGGAGCAGAGGTGAGGCAGCATCTGGTTTGTGCAGGGCGGTAGAGACAAGCTGGCAGTGTGGAAAAACCAGCTCCTGTGATGGTGATGGGGAAATATGACGGAGGAGGTGAGAATGTTGCCTCTCCAAAGTGGAGGAGAGAGGGAGCCACCGTTGTTTGCAGGTTCTGTCCTCTCCAGTGCTGCTCGTGTGGCTGGGCAGATGTTCAGCAGATGTTTTGCTCTTTTCTTGTGTTTGAGATGAAGTTGCATGGGCTCAGGGTGTAGCATCAGCCGTGTGACCACAGGAGGAAGGTGAGCTGCTTCCTATGTAGCCGTGGCCAGGATGGTCCTTTCAACCAGGACCTTCAGCCATCGCTTGTCCTCCTGCTGTGTTTGGCCATGGATTTTTGGATCGCTCACCGCTGCTTTGGGGAGAGTTTGTGGATGAAAACTCGGGTGATGTTTCTGTGGTTTGACAGGAGCTGTGCCCATCAGATGGACTTTGCTGGTGATGGTTGGGCAGTTCTGGGTAGCAGTCTTGGACACGCTCACACCACCTGGGCTGGTAGCTAGAGAAGTGTTGAAGGGCTTGATCCTGAGCACTGGCAGCTCCTGGAGCACGGCCTGAGCTGTTGATCTAAGGGCTGGGATGCAGTGTGGCCTCTCTGGCTTCTTTCCCTTCCAGAGGTGGGACCCGGTGTGGTGGCAGGCGCTCCCGTGGTACCTCACCCTGCAGAGGGTCAGGACAGTGACAGGGTGGGATGGATCCAGCTCTCCTGACTCCCCATGGAAGACCCCAGCACAACCCCACTGCGGTGGCAGAGGGCAGAGCAGCCCAGTGATGGGTGCTCACATAGAATAGAACAGAATACCATAAAATACCGTAGAATAACAGGTTGGATGGGACCACAAGGATCAGCTAGTCCAAAAATTCGGTGCTGGAGGCAGCCGCGTTCACTGGGCTCTCCAAAGGGACAAACCCTTGTCCTGCTGGAGCCCAGTGCCCCTCCTGAGGGCCGGACAAAAGCATCGCTCTACCTATGGGTCCTGGGGGGCTGCAGTGATGTTCCCAGGGGCCAACTTGCCCCTGGAGTTGCTGGAAACCGAGGGGGCGAAGACTTCTCCTGCCTGCGCTCGGCTCCCGGGGAGAGCTCAGGTTTTTTCCGCGTAGCCACAACAGTTTTCAGCGCACAGACTGTGCCTCTTGCCGCTCCCCGAGCCCCCCTTTCCCCTCGCCTCCTCCGTGTCGTATGTTCCGAAGCGCACTGCGTTTTTCAGCCGGGGAATAACACCCGCGGGCT